GGGGGGGGGCGGGAGGGCGCTGGGAGAGGACCTTGCTCCCTGCTGCCCTTGGAAGCTCCTGCTTGGTGTGTGAGTTTAGTCGTGAACTGGCCTTTTCCCAGCTCAGAACCCCTCCTGGTTCTCACATGAGTTAGAGTAAAACCCAAGTCCTCCTGGAGGTCCTCAGGGTCCTGCACACACTCCCCCCTCACCTCTCTCCTCTTCCGTCCTTCCACTCTCCCCCTCGCTCACTTTTCCAGCCACACAGGCCTCCCTGCTATTCCTTGGGCATATCAAGCAAGCTCCCACTCAGGGCTTTTGCACTGCTGTTCCCTTTGCCTAAATGCTCTTCCCCTTCTCTCTCTTCCTTCAGGTCTTCATCCAAGTGTCATCTTCTCTTTAAAAAGAGGCCTGACCCTTCTATTTAAAACACCCACCCCAGCCGAGGACTCCCACCCCTTCCCGGCTTGAGGTTCCTTCTAAGCACCTATCACCCTCTGACCTGTCCATCGTCCATCTTCCCAACCAGGATGTCAAGCTCATGAGGGCAGGGATCTTGTCTGTGTTGGTCATGCCTGTGTCCCCATCGCTTGGAACGGCTCCTGGCACACAACAGGCACTCAGGGAGCGTTTGCTGAATGTGTGAACAAGGCAATGTGTGTGACGATAAAGACCATGGACATGTGCCCGTGTTGCCACCAGGACGTGCGGGTTAGGTCATAGAACTTAGTACAGAGAGGGGTGATGTGCGGACATGTGAGATGTGCTCTGGGTTGGCAAGTGCACATGGGAGTCAGGTGTGTCCCCATCTCAGAGGCTGTGAACCCAGGAATGAAGGCAATGGGGCCCGGGTGTGGACCTTACAGGGTCAGAGGTGGCCGCTATGAGTACACAACCTTGAGTGAGGACACTCATAGGAGGTCACCTGTGTAAATTGGGGAACACCTGGGGGACACAGCAGACCTGGGGCATGTGGATGTTGGGGTGTGGGTGTGGCACTAGGCAGTTTTGATGAGGACGTGGGAAATGGGGTGTCCACTACTAGACTGAGTTAGTGAGACTTGCCCCTCACCCCACCTCACCCTCTTCTAACCATACTTGCCCTGCTTCTGTTCCAGCCTCCTGAGGTTCCTTTAATACAGCGGTTCTCAACCTGTGGGCCGCGACCCCTTTGGGGGTCGAACAACCCTTTCACAAGGGGTCGCCTAAGACCATTGGAAAACACATATATAATTACATATTGTTTTTGTGGTTAATTACTATGCTTTAATTACGTTCAACTTGTAACAATGAAAATACATCCTGTATATCAGATATTTACATTACGATTCATAACAGTAGAAAAATGACAATTATGAAGTAGCAATGAAAATAATTTTATGGTTGGGGGTCACCACAACATGAGGAACTGTATTAAAGGGTCGTGGCATTAGGAAGGTTGAGAACCACTGCTTTAATACATCAGGCGTGATCTAGCCTCAGGGCCTTTGCACATGCTGTTCCCCCTGCCAGGGCTGCTTTTCTCCCCTAGACATCCCCATGGCTTCCTCCTTCAGGACTTTGTTCAAAGGTCACCTCTCTAGCAGGTCTTGCCTCCTTTCAAATTGCTTCATGTCTCTCTGATCTTTATCTTTAGCATGGCGTCCTATCTAAAACTTTATTAACCTCATACTTTATTTTGTTCCTTGCACACCAGGCAGGAATTTTATTTTGTTTCCGACTATATTCCCAGCGCCTTGCACTGACGCTGGCACACAGTAAGCACTATGTTCGCTGAACCAATGCTGCCCCGCAGGATGCCTGGAACTCAGTGGAGAGGCCTGGCTGGGATCCCATTGTTAGGTAGCCTCCAGCCTTGGGGTGGGAGGACCGAGGTGGGCCTGGGTGGGCCCGGAGCCACGCAGGTGTAAACACACGCATTGGGAGCAGTTGGTTTTGGCCCGGCCTGAGAGTTGGGGGTCGAGTCTGGGTTCCCGGGCCTTCTCTCCTTCCCCTCCGTCCTCTGCCTGCAGGTCCGCCATGTGGGCTCGTCAGCCAGCAGAGCAGCCTCATCGCCCGCCTGGAGCGCCTGTGCCCGGGGGGCGCGGGCGGGCAGCAGCAGGTAACCCACGCGGTAGCCCCGCCGCCACTCCCTGTGCGTGTTGCCTGGAAGATGGGCCCCCTGAACCCGAAAAGTTCCAAAACCCAGATTCCTACATTTCCCCCCTACAATCCTTCGGGTCAAAACGCAACTGGTGGCCACTTCAAGTCTTTACTTATCCACGTCATATGAATAGTCTTAGAATCCTTCGAGCAAGCACATTATGTGGATAAAGACCAAAGACCCATGTTATGGAGGTGTTATGTAATGTCACAATACAGACGGTATATTACTGTCCCTAACTCCTGCCATAGTATTCTGAATTCTGGAACGTGTCTGGGCCTGGGTTTTGAATAAGAGATTGTTGCTCTGGGACAGTCCCTACCTTACAGGGTTGTTGAAAGCATTCAGTAAGTTATTACTCATTGTTGCAGGCCCTCGTTATTTTCACTTTAAAGAAAAGGATTTGGAGGCACGGATTGGTTAAGCCGTGCACACTGGAGCGGGACTGTAAGCTCAACTCTGCCTGTCCTTGAAGCTAGAATTGGGCATTTGGGGAGGATCAGTTCCTGCCCCTGCCTGACCTCCTACCCATCTGAATGCTGAGAGATGGAGATGGAGGAGACCAAGGTGGCCTGGGCTGAGGGTTAATGCAATCACATGATTCTCTTGGTCACCCAGGTCCTGCCCCCGCCCCTGGTACCGGTGGTTCCAGTCAGTCTGGTGGGTGGCACCAGTGACAACAGCAGGTTAGACCCAGCCCCAGAGTCCCAGAGAGACCAGACCCTGAGACAGCAGGGGACCTTGGCCTTTCCCTTACCTGCAGGGCACCCTGCAGTCCCCACCAGGCCAGCAGGTAAGATGAGGGCAGGGCTGCTGGGGGGTGTGATGAGCCAGGATTTTAATGGTATATTCCTCTAACGGAGAGAGAACTGAAGGAAATTTTACCCTGGTGACTGAACAAGGGGCTATGGCTCTTATTCTGATAAAAACCAAAATTCTTACTCTGGTATGAAAACAGGGAAGGAGGCACTTTTATTTTAATGAGGGGTCAGGGAATTTAAGACTGCTACTTTGGTGAGAATTTGAGCTGGTTCAGAGGGCCATGTTCAGGACTCTTATTCTGGTGAGGAGACCATTTTACCCAGGATTTAAGAACTCCAGGATCTACATGTGCTGTAGTGAGAGAAGAGTGACTCAGTCTTATTCAGGTAAGGAAATCGGTACTGGAGCACTTATTCTGATGAGAGAATGGAAGAGAGAACACTGCTATTCTGGTGAGGGGAACAGTGCAAATTAGGATTCTTATTTCAATAAGGGGTGGTTGGTCCAGGCTGTACTTACTCCATTATCTCTGTGCCCACAGGCCCATGGCAAGATTGTGCAGAGGCACACCGGGCAGGCCATGGGCAGAGTGGAGTGTATGAGCTGCGACTGGGCCGGCATGTGGTGTCAGCATGGTGTGAGCAACAGCTGGAGGGTGGAGGCTGGACTGTGATCCAGAGGCGGCAAGATGGTTCAGTCAACTTTTTCACTACCTGGCAGCACTACAAGGTGAGCGCAGGTAGGTAGGGGCAGGGCTGGGCAGGGGAGGGGACCTGTTCCTAACTTCCTGACTTTCCTGCCAGGCGGGCTTCGGGCAGCCTGATGGGGAATACTGGTTGGGCCTTGAACCTGTGCATCAGCTGACCAGCCGTGGGGACAATGAGCTCCTGGTGCTCCTGGAGGATTGGGGAGGCCGTGGTGCACGTGCCCACTATGATGGTTTCTCCCTGGAGCCTGAGAGTGACCACTACCGCCTACGGCTTGGCCAGTACCATGGAGATGCGGGCGACTCTCTTTCCTGGCACAATGACAAGCCCTTCAGCACTGTGGATAGGGACCGAGACTCCTATTCTGGTAAGGAGCTCTTACTGGGGTGTGTGTGTGTGTGTGGGAGGGGGGGGTGGAGGGAAGGGGAGGGTGGGGAGTAAGGAGATGGTACTTCTAGTCAAAGAATGGAAGGGATGGGTAACATTTCTCTTTGGTAAGGGTATGCAAGAGAACAGAAACCTAAAATTATTTTCGTTGCTATTTCATAACTGTAATGTTGCTACTGTTATGAATCGTCATATAAATATCTGATATGCAGGATGGTCTTAGGCGACCCCTGTGAAAGGGTCGTTCGACCCCCAAAGGGGTCACGACCCACAGGTTGAGAACCGCTGTTTTAGAAAGAAAGTAGAGATTTTTTTCCCTGGTAAAGAAATGAGAGGTAGAGATCCTCGTTTGCAGAAAGGATAGGAAAAGTGTGACTTGTACTTTGGTAAGGGGATAGGGAAGGAATTAAGGCCATTTCCTTGCACTACTGAGGTACTGGTAGCTTTTATTATGGTGAGAGGACATGGACTCTCTCTCTCCCCTCAGGTAACTGTGCCCTGTACCACCGGGGAGGCTGGTGGTACCACGCCTGTGCCCACTCCAACCTCAATGGTGTGTGGCACCGTGGTGGCCACTACCGCAACCGCTACCAGGACGGTGTCTACTGGGCTGAGTTTCGTGGCGGGGCTTACTCTCTCAAGAAGGCGGCCATGCTGATCCGGCCCCTGAGGCTGTGACCATCTGTCCCCGAGGGGATGTGTGTCAGCAGGAGCCCAAGCTGTCCTGGCCACACCTCCTTTATGGTTCAGTGTGAGCCCCGTCCCACAGACCCTCCCACTGTGGATCTGCTCCCCAGAACTCTGAAAGTAGGACCCAGGAATCCCCCCGCCAACATCTCCAACCCGTGTGGCTCCCCAAGGGCACTCAGATCTCAGTTTGAGCTCATATTTTATAACAACACAAAATATCTACAGACTGTGTCTGGTTTGCATCCACACCTGGCACGGGTCACTCCTGGGGTCCACCCTCCTCCTCCTCTTCCTCCTCCTCCTCCTTCAGGTCCTCCAGGATGAGGTTGTCCAGGTGTTCGAGGAGGCTCCCCTGGCTCAGGCAGGTGCCCACCGTGGAGCCACTGCTGATGTGGAGGTCGCTGGGGTACAGGACTTTGGGCAGGTGGTTCTGCTTCCGGCTCTTGGGGTGTGCGCAGGAGGTCCCAGGCACATGGGGCTCTGGGAAAGGAGGGGTTCTGAGGTTCTGAAGTCACATGAGACTCTGGGGAGGGAAGGGGCTGAGGATACAGACTCAGAGCTACAGGAAATTCAGACGTGAAAGTCACAGGTGTCAGAGCCACAGGAGACCCGGGGACACGGGCATCACCTGAGACTTCAGAAGACAAAACAGGAACCAAGAATACAGAGCCTCATGCGCGAGACCATGGAAGGTGGCTGATGCAGTGGGAGGTGGCACTGGGGGCCGCAGAGACTCGGGGCGCCAGAGAAGACATGGAAGAAGGGGCTGATGCCATGGCAAGTGGCCATGGGGGCTGAGACCTTGGTACTTAAGGCCCTAGAAGTTGATGTCCTAGAAGTAAAAGCCAAGGAGCCCACCCAGAGCTGGGGGAGGCCAGGCCAGGTCCTTACCTCGCCGGTTGAAGCAGTCAGCGGCTGAGCAGGAGTGGGTGTGGGTGCTGCGGTGATCCGTGTCCCGGTCCCAGCGCGGAGGGAGGATCCGTGTCGGATACACCGGAAAGCCACACCCATAACAAGGGGATGGGGACCCCATCTGTGCCCAGCCCCTGTGGGCAGGCAGGGCCATGAGGGTCTGAGGGTGAGGGTGCAGCTGGGCTGCAGTGGGGCCAAGGCAGGGAGGGCAGGGCTGGGGTGGGACAGGGCTGAGGGGCGAGGTGGAGGTCAGCATCCTCACCGGAACTTGTGCCTGCACTTGGGGCAGTGGAACTCAGCCACACCCCACATCTTGTCTTCGGGTACTGGCTCATAGCGCTTTCGGCATTTCCTGCACCGAGACACCTGTGGGTGTGGAGAAGGGTGTGGGCTTACTCTCAGAAGAGAACTCTGGTAGCTTGATATTGGCCAAAGTGGGAATATTTACAGCATGGAAATTGGTAAACACTACAGATCCAGGCTCCATCCCAGGCCTATGCTGCAGGAGTTGGTTCTTAAGCATTTGCCAGAAGCACATCACTGGTCAGGGGGGTTCAGAGGCCAGATTTGGGGGTGTGTTTTCGGAGTCAGCTTTGATTTCTGCGGCAGCTGTCAAACTGTGGAGTCAGAGCTCAGGGGTAAGGGCTGAGCTCCAGTTGGAGGTCAGAAGGCCAGCTCAGGCTGGGGAATTGGGGATGAGCTGTCAGAGGCTGAACGTCTGAAGTCAGAGCTTCAGATGCTGAGGATGGGGACACGACAGTGAAGGAGTCAAGGCCCAGGGTTGGGTTATCACCTCCTTCCGCTGGGGCACACGGCGCCACCAGACATGGTCGCAGGAGGAGCAGGCAAACTGCCGATCCACGGCAGGGATAAGGTCTTCCTGGGCACGTTGGAACATGCGTAGGTTGGCTGCCGTCAGCGGCAGGAGGGAGGTTGCCACTGCCTGTGGAACGGGGTGGTGGGGTGGTGGTGAGCACGAGAGGGTGGTCAGCCCTTCTCCAACAACATAAACATATGTCAGTTCCATACTCCCAACAGATGGGCCCCCTCGGGCCCCTAGGGTGTACCCCTCTATCCCCCATGGGGGTCCTCCCTGCTCCACCTCCCCCATTCCCAGATACTGGACCCACCTGGATGTCTTGGTCCTGCTTCATGTCCTCCGGTGGGTCCTGGGTGGAGATACCAGGGGCAGAGGCTGGGGATTCAGCTCAGACCTCTTTCACCTCGTTTATTGGGGGAGGGTCCCGGCCCCATATAAGAACGGAGTGTCCCTAACTCACAAGGAGGTGATGGAGCAGCAGTCACTAGCTGAGAGCCAGGTGCGTGACCCCTGCTATCCTTACGCAGTTCTGGGAGGTGAGCATACTTGTTATCCTCATTGTTCAGATGGGGACACTGAGACCCAGAGCCAGGAGACAGCCTGCCTGGGATCACCCCGAGAGAGTGCAGTGGCGCAGGCCTGGACCCCGTGCTCCCGTCCTGCTCGCAAATGCCACACATTTGTTGGCACTGGGACAGGCGGCCCGCCCTGAGGCCACACTGCCTTAGGCTAAGTGTTCCAGCGCTGGGCTCAGACAGAAGCAGGTACCACCCCCCTCCCCGGCTCCATTACTTTCAGCTGGGTCCCTAATGAGGGGCATCTCAGAGCTCAGACCCTGACTGGGTGGCTGGGGTTCAAATCCCAGCTGCCACCTGCATGCTTCGTAATCCTGGCCAGTGACTTCATCACTCTGTGTCTCCGTTGCCTTATCCGTAAAAGGACAATAAATAAAGGACCTGTCTCATGGGGCCACTGTGGCAATGAAATGAGTCAACAGGTAAAATTCCTGGAGCCCTGTTGCAAGGGAAGTGCTCAATCAATGCTACTCTTTACTGTTATATACTTAAAAAGAGGTTTTTATTGATTTTAGAGAGAGGAAGGGAGAGGAAGAGAGAGAAACATTAATGTGTGAGAGAGAAACATCAATCGGTTGCCTCGTATGCACCCTGACTGGGGACGGAACCTGGGCATGTGCCCTGACGGGGAACTGAACTGGAGACCTTTTGGTGCACAGGGCAACGCCCAGTCAACTGAGCCACACCAGCCAGGGCTCTTTGCTATTATGTTTTATCATACTCTATAGGTATAAATGCAAGAGTATAATACATGTTTTATTATACTCTTTAACAGCTCTATGCTGGGCTTTTCAGGCAGGTAAAATCCACAGTGCATCAGCTACCAAAGCCACCACAGGGCAAAGTGGTCATGATGTTCCTGTGCCTCAAAGCCTTTCATTCATTCACTCACTCACTCATTCATTCATTCAACACATGAGCTCCTCTGCCCTCCTTTCTCGCCCCATCTCCTGCTCATCCCAGCCTGTTTGCATTCCTTCGCTCAGCCATTCCCTCTTCCAGGAGGGCCCTTTCTGACCCCTCCATTCCCAGGGATCACTAGCCTCCAGCCTTGAAGAGTTGGCAACACCCTCTCCAGGAAGCTCTCCCTGACCTCTTGCCTCCTCTATGACGACATTCTTCCTGGCTCCCGTCACTGCCCAGTTCCATGTCTCCCCCCCATTTAATAGCATCAGCATGTAATGAACATCTTCTGTCTGCAGGCTCCCTGCAACTGAGGAGTGAGTACATGTGGCTAGACCATGAGCTGTGACGTGGCAGTGCCCCGAGGGGTTCGCCATGGATGGGCCGGGTTCCCCCTGCTCTCCCTCCCCTTACCCTGTCCTTTGAGGAGCGGGAGGCCGTTTACCTGGGCATCCAGGTCGTGACTCAGTTCCTGCCCATCTTTCTGCTTTACTCCTGGTGGGGAGAGTAAATGTACGTGAAGAACCCTTGAAAGACCTTGTGGGAGTTTCAGGTCCCCAGATCCTCCCCGAGAGGATCTCCAGGCCTCTCCCTGCCTTCCTCAGACCAGGCCCCCACCCCCGCGGGGAACCCCACCAGGCTGGGGACCCCAGCCTGCCGCCCGCTCACCGTACACGATGGAGCGGCCCACTCCGGTGTGGTCGCTGCCAAATTTCCTCATCAGAGTCCCCGCCTTCCTGGAGGAGACCTTCCCATGAAACTTCTCCCGGAGGCGCCGGACGCTCTGCTCCAGCTGGGGTGGGGACAGGGGGGCTCCGATGGGGGGAGGAGAGCCACTGCCCTCCCCCCATTTCTAGACACTCTTCTCCCCGCCTGAACTTGACCCTTAGCTTTGGCCTCCGAACCTCCCATCTCCATCCTCCGTGGCATTTCCTGGAAAAAGCCAAAGTCCCCACTGGATACTGGGGGAGGGTGCGGACTGGGGCAAGCTTCCCAGGCTCGGAGGGAGGCCGGCCAGGTAGCAC